TAATTATATAAAACAAATTGGAAGAAGTTATTTCACTAAACAATTGTTCTATACTGAATGATTAATTGGGCAATGTAGTCATCTTTATGACATATTCAATGGATATATCATTGGATGTCAATTTATTATGAAAAATTAATGCATGAGAATATTAAGAAAAATTGATAGATACTACTGTGTGGACTATTTTTATTCATTATATTTTATGTATAAGCAGAGTATTTTACATGTTATCGTCATTTATTTCACTTTTGTTTAGTTGAAAATTGTGATTAAATTTACATGATATCTGCTTCGTAATAGACACGTACTGACGCTTGCTTTAAATAAAATTTCTTTCTCCTTGTTAGATTTGATGAAGAGGCAAAAAGTTTTAAATATAGAGGTAAAAGTAGCTGTCCTGTGTGCATCAGTGGTTTGGTCCTGTTTGCAGAATGCACATGGAACAATTGCACAATTATGCATATGCATTGTATGTAGGTGTGATATCCTAACTCCTTTTCTTCTGGTTTTTACAAAGTCCTTATCTAGCAGTGTCCATGCGAGCTCATGCTGTATGGTGCATAGGCAGAGAACGAGTGGACGGTATCGATGCAGCTGCAACTGCCTGATTCTGGCTTTTGTAGAGTACCGTATATTCTGACAGGGAGGATTTTTCGTTTAGAAAATTTCGTCGATAAAATTTGGTGTAGTATTTAACATATTTTTATGACTAGTAATTAATAATGTTTTACAAGTTTCTTATAGTTCTGATGGTTTTATTTGAAAATTTTTCAGTATTTTAAATCCAACCAAACTCGATATCGTTTTACTTACCATTCCGAACCGTATCGATTTCGATTGTTACGTTCAATTTTCTTTTCTTTCAACGTCTGTTTCCCAGAGATCTCGGTATCCTCGATAAAACTACATTCAGGTAAACTTCTCGTCGACGTGTATCTCTCAAGGGATTAGAGAGCAATGGGACACGTTCGATAAAATTACTTCAAAGCTATATACTAAATTGTCAGATTTAAATATCAAAGCTCGAAGTAGATGTACCGGAATCGTCCGAATTCGTTTAAGGGCAAAGTTCAATCTTAATTTCGTTCAGTTTCGAACTGAATTTTCGAGTCGATAACGTCGAGACTTGTTCAGAATAATCTTGGATCGCGTACCAGTGAAATTTATTCATTGCGAACAAGAACGTAGTAATAATGATTTTTGCATGATAACGATGATCGATCCTCGATGGTAATTACCGGCACGACGATTTTTACCAGCTGAAATATTTCCTCGTTAAAGCAATTTCAGCTTCGTTTTATTATGGTTTTCCCATTTCTTTTTTTCCTCGAGATTCCTCTGCACGCAGATTAATTAGTACAGCGTCGTTCAGAGAAAGAATGGGAACGAGAGGCAGCCTTAATTACTATTCCAAGACAGCGTAAGTTTCGTAATAACCGAGCAGCAGCAGCACCACCAGCACCAGCACCGGCGAGGTATAAGTAATGAATCCAGATGTCGTCGCCTCCGTCGAACGTCGGATCGAAAAATGACGAGCAAAGTGGAAATTTCAATCGAGTTCTTTCACCTGCTAACGCAAAATTAGCACGAAGCCCTGTCGTTCAATATTTTCAATTTATTTTTGTCGATAACAGCCCGTATCCTTCGTGTTTCTTTATTACAAGCACTCTTTCAATACATTGTCGACCGGCAACGCATATCGATTCGTCCTTTGTTACCTGAACGTTAATTAATAATGTTTTGTAGACGTTAATTAATAATTCTTGATACAATTTTTCTTTGTCGGCAATTTTGGTGCCAGTGGAATATTTACAATGGCATACAGCTTTTATAAATAGAAGAATATTTTTTTCTATTGCAAAATCTAAACATTAAGACAGCTAGATAGTCGATAGTGTGGTCAGAATAACAAATTCGGTAATTGCATTCGTTATAATTGCATTCATTTGCAATAATCATTAATCCCACTTTAAGGATTGATCAGTGTGTGTACTGATCAAAATAGTACCTAGTTGAACTCTCTCAAGATGATAATGTTATTATTTTTTATACAATCCTCGAAATTTTCATAGATGTTCGACGACGCGACGTCGAACTTGCACAGTTTGTTCGGGAACCAATGGAAACGACGTTAACCATCGACGGTGTCGACGTCGTAACGACCCAATTTCGACGTTTCGTCGACGAGGAAATAAAGAGTGCTGCTAGGGATAGAAATAAAGGATCGAGGATGGAAAGAAAAAAAAGAAAAAAGTAAAGGACAAGCAGGGAAGTCGAGTTACTGGCTACAAAGCGAAAAGTAAAATTCCCTGACAGCGAGAAGTTAATATTTAATTTAAGATAGAACACTGACTCCTCGTTTGCCATCTTTCCCACCTTTCCCACCATTTCATGGAAAAGTTATACCCGATGTTCCACGAGGCAGCTTCTGCTCGGATCGATTCGATTCTTGAACGACTAACGGTTACGAAAATTTACGACATTTTCGAACTAGGACCAACTTTCTCGAGTGAAAAAATTAATTTTTCATGGAATACTTAGCGACTACCTATACTGGACTTTATGTCGCGTAACTTTCGGCTGGTTGCTTGTCACCATTAGTAAAGTCGTTTATTCGATCCTGCCTCTCGGCACAATAAAGTACTAGTAATCTAACCAGGGACTTATACCGAAACTAAAAATACCGGTATCATATCGGTATTTGTCGGTTGCACTTTCAAAACCCTTATAGAAACCGAAATACTTATATAACGTCATACCGATATGTTTACTCTTTATTTATCGGTAATTGTTCCGGTTTTCCTATTTCAGAAAACTTTCAACATTTCTTTCTTTTTTAACTAAAAATCTAAAACTTAAAACCAATGGGTTCTGTATGTGTTGGCATTATGTAAATTAAGTTGGCAAAGTCATACCAAAACCGATATATACATATAATATCGAATTAAAAACAATAATGAGCATTATTCCTGTTCTCATTTGCTTCTCGTTTGATTGGAGGTAATTTATACAATGCTTATGTAGGCGTTTAGTGGAGGGGGTGAGAGAGGGTTTCGTCTCCCTGAACGCCTTTAGTTCGGACCGGGGACCGCTAGGTGGCGGCGAGATGATCGGTGACAGTGTTCTCGCAAGCGGTCGCCCGGCATGCAGTTCGAATATATAAAAGTTCTCGAATTGCGGTATGATATGTGTGTTGGATTCCAAGGAATTAAACAACACGTAGAGAATACTCTTACTTAGAAACGTTTATTATGAAATGCGCACTCGACTAAGTAGGTACTGAAATCTGCCCTGGTAAAGCTCTGTAAGCTTTTTATATACTATTGATGGAAATTGGATAGTGGTAGGGATGATGGTTAAGGAACAGTGTGACTACGGAAAGGTACACAAAGTGCAGGATGAGTGAGGAATAGGGACGATGGTCAGGGTACGAAGTGCAGGATGAATCAGGAATAGGGGTTGATGTCAAGGAACAGTGTGACTAAAGGAAAGGAACGAAATGCAGGATGAGTAAAAAAGGTTTAGGAGTCATGGTTAGAATGTTTGGCTGAGGATGAATCTATAGTGTTTGTGTTACGATTAGTGGCGTTGGTTATCCAACATGTGTCTGGGGCAGGGATCGTCTGTTGTCAGCCCCACTGGACGAGTCTGACAGACGATTTCGAGACGAAACGCCTTTTTCTCCCCTCTCCTACACTTACAAATTACGAGTAGAAAAGAAGTTTGATATTGTGGCCATATTGTTGATGTTATTATACTAATGATAAAATGTTTCAAACGCGCATAAGATTCCATAAGATTGCTTTGAAAGCAGTTTAGGTTACATTAAAATTGAATCTACAATGTTACAAAAAAAAATACAGATACTTATTTCGATTTCAGTACTCTAATGTTTTCGATTTTCATTCATTTCGGTACTATAACGGTTTCGGTATAACTTTGTTGGCATTATAATGGTTTTAAGTTCCCGGATCTAACAGGAAGAGTTTTGTTTTGAAATCGCTGGAAGGATTTGAACGTAAGGACGAGCGATAACGTGACGCGAAGAATCAGTCGAAGGCGAGATCGCATGGAGGAAGAACGCTGTGTTTACAGTTTAGTGTTTACAGTTCACAGACTTACAGACTGGTTTCCAGTTGTTGTTGAAACGATCGTGGTACATACGTCGAGCGTTATCCATTGCTTTCCCAACCATAGGACTTCCCGTTGCTCCCTGCGGTGTAACGCGAGCTTTCCATTCTTGCGCGATAATCTCTCTGTCGAGCCTTCCGCTTCCCGTTACACCGAATTTCTCTATGGGATTCTGCGGTATTCACCGGTAGGCATTACTGACGTTCGTCGACGCGCCTTCCAGCAATTATCGCGCATGAAATGTAATCCTCTCGTACTCGGTGAACAGGAAACGACTTATTGCCGAACATGTAATATTATTTTCTGCGATCTTATTTTATTTGCTTATTTAAATTGGATATCTATATCCAGCGTTTTATATTTAAAAATGCTAGGTGCTTCGTCTCATGTTTCTCTAATTGATTTTAATAATTAACCAAAGAAGACGTTTATCGGATTCCAATTAAATATGTTATCAATGTTAAAAATAGAATTTTGTCTATATTTTATTCGGGTTAACACCTCTTCCTTAATTTCGAATGAAGTTCTTATCGATTTGATTGAAATGCTACGTAATTTACACTCACGTCTAGAGAATTGTGTTTCGTGTTTTCTGTTTAATGCGATTTGGTAACAACATTACCTACCGAGACCAATTGTAAATATGAAGGAGGCAAGTTTGAAGGAAGCAATTTGACATTCGTATAGGTACATGGAAGCATATACATTTATATATTTCATTTCCCTTCTGTGCAATGTCACGTGTTTATGGGAGAAGCAGTTAACCCGGGAAATTGGGGAAATTTATCCGCGCGTAATCGTGCTAAGAAGGCGTATTTGTCATCGACAATGGGTAGACCCGCTTAATAATAATTTAACTGTTCCAGTGGCTTGCTCGACGGTGACAGTGACTAAGTGTCAAGCGGCCCTGCATACTCTGCAAGCTTTCACTTTCTTCCGACCCACGTGCCTCTGCAGGGAACGCCACGTAGATCAGGAATGCAACAGCTTCCAGACCTTCCTCTTCGATCACCCTTGCATCGATGTCTTGAACAAGGGTAAGTTTCTTTCAATAAAAACCTGCATTTTATAGTAAGCGTTACAGACATGAAATATGGTTGCAAACACAAATTTAATTTCAAATTTACATTTAAACGAAAAAAGAAAAGAAATTATCATCAGCCTGAGTAACTTTTCCTTATAACTTAATCGTCGCTCATTGTTTATTAAAAAGTTATGAACCAAGAAAGACTTGTAAAAATCAATACGTGAAGAGTTGATAAAGAGCTCCGCCCTTCCTGCGGAAGGGCTCCACTCAAAAGATCTAACCTAACCTAACCCAAAGCCAATTTATTTCAAATCCGAAGTCGCAACCTCGTCGCAAAGCACATGCGGACAATGGAGCAACAATGGTGCGGGTGCAAATGGTTTTCGGTTAGGTTAGGTTAGATTTCTGCCCTACGGGAGAGCGGAACTCTTTATTAACTCTCCATTTATTTCCTCTTCCATTAATTATATTACTTGTTAGTGGATAGGTATAATGATTAAATAATTTCTATACTGAACAATATCAATATTTATTCACTTTCATTAATTATATTGTTTGTTAGGCGATATAATTTTGACATAATTGTAAAAAATTGATCTATTCTCTCAGAATAATTATAAATACGTTTAAACAAAAATTCTGCTATGCAGTAGTCATAATGTCCTTCTCTGTCTCATTCATTTTCAGTACCGTAACACAATACGTTTCTACGTTTTGGACACTTAATTTCACACCGAATTACTAGTTTATCGCATAGATAATTTATTAATACTATACTATCTATACTATCTAAACTATAATATAACTTATACTATCTAAATTATAATATGTCAAATGTAAAAATTCGTGTAGATACCTATATGATAACTCGACAAGAGTAACGTAAAGATTGACAGTAGTAAATAGATAAAAGCTATTAGTTAACGGTAATAGATATTGAGATGTTCTACAGGATGTCAACATACAAACTCACTATTCTTATATAGACGTTGTTCGAAAATTACAGGTACGACAGAAACTGGTATATTTCTCAAATTTTATTTCTTCATATCCTTTTAATAAGCAATGAGCGACGATTAAGTTATAAGTAAAAGTTACTCAGGGTGATGATCTTGACAACATATGTCAAAGTCAAGGTGATCGGAGGTGGGTACGTCAACGATTATATTAACACCATTTGAATACTTTGTAAATTCATGAAAAAGAAGTTTCACATGTTTTTGAATATAGAATAAAACTGAAATTCGGTGAATAGAAAATTGTCAGTCTCCTATGGCGAGATCGAATCGTCCGGCGACGCTTGGATAACAGCGAAAATCAATTAAGATCAATCTAGTCCGCTTGAAAAAGGGATCGAACTCAACACGCGTTAATCCTCTAACAAGCGTTTAATCGCGAGTGTAACCAGGGATTCAACTCGACCATCGCGACGCGTCGCTTCGCGTCGAGACGGTTTTTACCATTATCCTCGATCTCCATCGAGGAAGAACGCTCGAAAACTTTTAACGAGTCGCGAACACGCGTCCATCGCGCGACGTTTCCAATAATTCCAGAGGCCATTCGTTTCTTGTTTAACTTTAACTTCCGACTGGCATTACACGCTCACTCGAGACGAAAGCCGCCAACTGAGAGCAGTGTTCGTTCGAGCATCCTCGAACGGAATCCGTTCGTCTTTACCTCGGAAATCGTTGCCGATATTTGCTCTTCGCGTTCTCAACGAAGATTATCCAAAAGTCCTCTCGATCATCATCGAACTTGTACTTCAGTGTTTTTCACCGCGTTTCCTTTTGGGATTGTGTTCTTCGGCATCGGTCGATCAACATCCGGAAATCTATTTTCTGTTTCAATCTCGAAACAGGAGTATTTCTCATTTTTGTTCGATTGTTTTGAGTCAAACAAATTGAAAATGTTTTTTGTTTGTGTTTTTTATTTTTTTTTTTTTCATTTTGGGTTTACTTTTTGCCGAGCGGATGTTTAATTGTTTCATTTTTAAATCATCGTTCAATTTTTGGAAACGTTAGTAAATGGAAGCTGCGGCTTTGATTTTTTTATGGTTCGTCGACAAGTACTTATTTTGTTTTAAGAAAATCAATAAACTGATAGAATAAATAAACTAATTGTAATGTAAACTCATGTATAACTATACATGATAACCAGAAATTCTCAACAGGAATAATCAGTTATATTCTATATTCTCTAAACAGTGTGCTAAATTGTAATAGCAATAATCATCGCAGTGAATTTCTCGGATTGAAATCCATAATAGAACATTACAGGAGTTTCACTCTATGCCATTGTTTGCTGTAACTGACAATAAGCCATTTTGTATTCAAAATATTAATGAAACGTTTATGTGGCCATTTTGATTAAATGATATATTCTAAGTACCATTTGTACGTAAAATGTACGTAAATAATTCTGGAATTAATTGAACGAACAAACGAAAGAAAGAAATGAAAGAACGGAAAGAAACTTGTGGCGAAAATCAAAAGTGACGAAAGCTAAACTCGAGGGGTTAATTGTTAAGACATTAAAAGCTCGGAACCGATTTCTTCTTTCTTTTTCCGATCTTTTTATGGCTCAACGAAAGCTTCAAAGCCCCCTGCGTTGCATAAGCTGCAACGCGTTGCTTTCAGTGTATCCTGAAAGTGACGTTGACTTCGAGAGGAGGGAATCTTTGGCGTGTTGAAGAAGAGAGAAGAGAGGAAGGCAAGCGCGCGTGCCTTTGCCAGGCCTTCTTTCTCCTTCGTTCTTTTCCCTTTTCTTCTTTTTCCACCTTTCTCCAGCTCGCCGTCGGTTTTCCCTTTCCTTCGTTTCCTTTTTTCGAAGCGTGGGGGCGAATTTAATCTCATTAAGTGCCGAACCTTCCTGTTTCTCGTACCAGCTATGCCGGACTTTTCATTATCTACGTTACCTTCCCGTATGACCAGCTTTCAAACCGATCATACGGCCTATGCATGTACCTGGATAAATGTAATTAAACTTTTGGCCAAATTCGTCTAATTGCCGCACTCATTACTCTTTGAATTATTCATATACATTAATCCCCTTTTATTACTCTCTTTCGTTTCTTTTCATTTTCGAGCCGCTACGTCGTCTTTCACAAGGGATATTATAAACGTGAAAAATCACGGATCCATAGGTTACAATTAGAGAAATTTTGACGAACGTAATAGGTATTTGTAAAATGAAAGGTTCGTTGAACGCGGTCTAATTGCTCGATTTTTTTCTCATCCTGAAATTATGTTTCAAATGAGGTTCGCGAATGGTGAAATCCCGGAAGGTAAGCTTAATTTATTTTCTCCCTTAATTGCTTCTTTCTCAAGACACTTCTGTTTTCCTTACGAAATTAAAATTTTAATTTCCCGCGAACGCGGTGCCACCCCGCGCCGACTCTCGATCTGCAACGTTTCGCTGTGACCCACTTTCGTTTCACCTTTACAACGAATTCTTCGATAAATAATTTTTCCTCCTTGTCAAACATAGTCAATTTTTAAAACGTCGTCTCACGTTTTGTCAACGTTATTGGATTCTGCCGTCAATATTTAAAGACATTAGAAACAACGTTTCCAATTTTAAGCGATAAACGCTTTGAATTCTTAAAAAGCAACTACTTAAGGCGACGCGATGTTTAAAAAAACAGTAGAGACCAGTTTATATCGGGAAATCAATTGTTGGAGGTTTACAATTAGAGAAAATTTAATTGAGGTAATAGTTAATTGCAAAGCAAAGATTAGAGCTTTATTTCACCGAAATTTGTACAAATTCGACGTATGCTGTGAATGACACATCCAATGGTGTTAATCGTGCGGGAAAGTATTATCTAGGGGTTTGTCGAAGATAACAACGAGTGTATCAAGGGTAGACGCAACAGAAGAAAATTTGATCGAAGCGGCACTCGTTCAGGGCATTTTCTTTCGATGAAAAGGGGGGTGGGTCTCGTGAAAGAAACAAAGGGATCGCGATATCTTTGACTGCGGCTCTCTTATATAACCTCCGCGCCATTGCGGCTTCTCCTACGATCTCCATTGTTCATTTTCCCGAGGGTTCGCTCGTCCGGGCCGTCGAGCCTTTTGAGCATTTTCGAACGATTCGCGGATAATTCCCAATGCGCTTCTTTTCACCCACGTCCGCTGTTCAACTCGCGTACCTCTTTTTTTCATCTCTTTCTTTCTTTCTTCCTTTCTGTCTTTCCACTCCCATCCTCGTCGCTTTTTCTCTTTCCGTCTTCGTTCTTACCAATGCTAAAAGAATGGGCTTTCCTCTTGCCTGTCGATTCCGCCAGAGAAACTCTCTCTGCTTTATTTTTTATCTCGCCTACGTTCCTTTTCTTTTTTACACCCCCATTATCCGCGCCACATCGAACCGCTTTTGTTTACATATTTTCTCGTGCCAGCTTTCCGACCGGTCGGTACTCTTTCTTCTTTTTCTATAATTTATGAAATAGAGTGTACAGCCACTGGAAGTCGATTTTCTTTCTCCTTTCTTATTTCCTTTCCTCGTTTATCTATCTTTTTCCACCGATCGTCCCGTCGTTAAATGAATTAGTCCGCCCTTTTAATTGCGATCGCTTTTATTATCGGAGAATTTGTGAGTGTAGAAAAGCGGCGAGGTCTTTGAAATTATTCACGGGAAATTTCCCAATCCTCTTTTCCTTTATCCGCGAAAAAAATCCCCTTTCACCCTCCCTCCTAGCACACCCCCGACCTACCTACCCACCTCAGCTATTCCTTTCTTTCGTTTGATAAAAGAATACCTTTATTATTTTCTGGTTTGTCTTTTTGTTTGAAACCGGCGCCATCCGTGCCGACGACTTCTTATTGTTTTATTTCCATCGGTCCCAGACAGACGCGTCTTTTCGTTATTTTGTACGACTTCGGCCGAGACTGGCAATTATTTTTCCACGCTTTCAAACGACCGAGCAATAACGAAAGGGATTTTTATACGAGCAATATTTTTAATTGACCTGCCATCAGCTCTTCGTTGTCTACTGAACGGATAGATGAATTTACCTGATGCTCTTTGTTTCTGACAGACGATAAAATGGTATTGAATTTGCAACGTTTTTTCAGTTATTTCTTTCGTTATGGTATGATTGTCGGCTGGACTTCCGAAAAAGGGTTACCTCTGATTTTTTTGAAATTGCGGATACTCACGTATTTCGACGCGCTGATTACAAAAATGATAGTGAAAATTGGTGCAAATTTGATTTTCATGGTGAAAACTATAAAAAACTTGAGAAATACTAAGAATTTTAAAAAACATTTTAAGTAAAAATTGTAGATCTCATCGAAATACATATTTTATGTTCTATCTATTTTTCTTCTACGATTGATAGTTTTTGAGAAAATCATTGATGAAGTATAATGTCTCACGCCCCACCGCTTGACTGTAGGGTAGGCTCTCTCTATTACACTAAATAATAACTATAATATAATATATAATACTTTACAAAAAAAATGTATTTTTTGTTTAAAACTTTTTTCTCTAAAATCAATATTTTTGGAGATATACAATAAAAACGTTTCAAACTTTGAAGGGGGTGGAGGGCAAACGAGGCCTAATCGCCAAAAATCCTCTTAGAGATTTTATTCTCTAATCAGGTATAAGTTTTGGTTAAAATTTCATTTCAAATTGGGGGTAACCCTTTTTCGGAAGTCAATCCTGTTTGTCTATTACAATTGTTGATGTTTTGTGTTTTTCATCGTCAGATTCCATTTATTTCCTTGCAGGCTATATTTTTAAGTAAAATTTCTCCACGATATCGCGTCGCGTGTCGTTAATGTTGTCGCGATTTCTTTTCCAGATAAGGACCCGTATTCCATCGACACTCTGCCTACATGCAATCATGCGCTGAGCGTCTGTTTACGAGGCAAACCGTGCAGCCAGATTTTCGACGACTTCAAAAGTAACTGCAAATCGCGAGAGGGCAAGTGCAGGATGGAGAGCCGGTGAGTGGAAAACGTTTGCATCATTACCATAGTTTATTTCAAGTTTCGTCGATCGGGCACGGTTCGGCAGTGAGTACGTTCACGGTTTTCATCCGGAGACGAGCGTGAGCCTGGAAGTCAATATTTACGTCTGCCTCTTTTCGCGAAAAAATTTTACCCACCGAAGGTTCCCTCTGCCTTTCCTATTCATAATTCAAGTTACAGGAAGCGCGGAACGTTCCTTTTCAGTGTCAATCAAAGATGTAAATCTCTTTTGCCGCGTGTTGAATTTCCTTCTTACGGTTCCATACGTGTGCATGTGTGCGCGTTCCATCGCCATTCAGGCTTCTTCGAACAGGCTCGGCTAACTTGCCTTTTTCAATGTCACTCGGCTACGTCAGTTCTTTCGTTAAACTTAATGCTTTCAGCGTAGGGTGAAAAGCGAACGATACTTTTTTTTTTTCTTCGCTTCCCTCCCCTGTTACATCAGCCGGGGTAGTTCGGGTTTCGATACGTTGGGAAATTTTCCAGAGGGACAGGAGAGATTTCCGAGGAGGAAAAATCCAGTTTCATGGAGAAGGAAATCTCGCGGATACTTTGTTACAAAGGTTTCTGTAACGGTAACCCGATTCCCTTAAGTTAACACTTACGTGTTTCACTATGAAAGTCGCAAAGCTTTTCTGTTAAAGCATAAAGCAAGGAAAAAAGTTTGCAAATTCCGTCTCTGATATTATCACCGCGATCTTTCAAAAATCTAACAATAGGTATTATGATGTTGAAGAGCACAAAGCTTTCAAGTATACCCCTTCTTCGGTATAAGCTGTGAAATTTTACCAATTTTACCACTTTAACAGGATTTAAAAGGCGAAAAGGCATAGAACAACTTTTACATCTTTCTTTTACTAGCTTTCTACCTTTCGTATCGTCGTAAATCCATTAACGAGCACGTCTACGCACTTTTAATTACAGAAGCTACTCGCGTGTCGAAACTTTACGAGCCTTTCCTCCTGAGTAATTGCCTCGTATCTTTCTTGCCATTTTCATCCCTTTACGTTCCGGTCTACCCCTTCTCTATGATATGATTATCGTCATTACGAAGTATCCTGTTAACCCAGTAAAAAGCGAGACTGCGCGTTCCGCGAGAAGTTTGCGAGAGGGAGAAAAAAGAAAAAAGGACGGTAGGTGCTCTTCGTGGAACGGAGTCGAAATGATTTCCAAGTATGATGCATCGCTGTCCCGGATCGTCGCTAAAATGAGACGCGTTTCGTTGAAAAGGCAGGCTCGGAACGATTTCCAAGTAGAATGTGCATAGGTGCCGTGATCGTCGGCCGTTAGTCCCGTGTTTTCTTTGCCATCGAGCGAAGCTCGTTCGAAGAAAACGATGTTTGGAGAAAGGACGCAAATGGCAGTGTAACGCGCTCGTTAAAGGACGGTAAAACGTACGCGAAATCGTCAACATCCAGCGCATACGCTTCGAGTCTTTTCGCCAAGTGCGGCCAACAACCGATCTACGCGGACCTTGTTTATTGTGCATGAAATTATGCGTAAAATATCAAATGCCATTTGGAACTTTGTACTTACAAAGTTCGATTATTTCATCATTTGGCTGTTAAAACAATTTTTGCCTGGATATACAGGGTGTCTCAGTATCTACATGATCTTCTGCATGAAAAAACAAATCGAAAATAACGAAACAAATTTTTTCACTTGAGGCTTCGTTCTCGAGAAAATTAATTTTGAATTAGATGAATGGATCTCGATAGAAGTCACATGTCACTTATAAGTAGTACTAATGTCATTAGTATCAACATAATGTGCTATATTACTTATTTCTACCTATGGATTTAGAGTGGATGTAATTTAATTATTAACTTACTTTATTAATGGAAAAATTGTTGGAAATGCTCTCCATTGTGCTACTAATTGTGATACTAATGATATTAGTACTACTTATAAGTGACATATGACTTCTATCGAGATCCATCTATCTAAACCAATATTTCCCAACTTTTTTTATGCCATGCCCCACTTAAGCCTTTCTAAAATTCTTATCTCCCCTATGTAACGTAAACATAATTTTTAATATTCAAAAATTGAATTGTTCTCCGAAGAAACTTAAATGATAGGTTTCCCAAACAAATCACTAGAAAATTGTTGAGGAAACACATTTTAAAAACATATAATGAAGAACCAAAATTCAAGTAGGAAATAATTTTAATGAAAGATTTTTCTATATTATTTTAATTATTAGCAATTACGGATGTTTACCCAGCTCGAGTAGCGACTGAGAGTCGCCATACGGTTAACTTAAACTCTGGACGAGTCCATTTTTATAATTGCCCCCTTAATAATCAAATTGCCCCTATGTAAACCATAGTTAAGTGTACGCATACTCGCTGAATATTCAAAACTGATTTTCTCGAGAACGCAGCCTCAAATGAAAAAATTTTTTTCTTTGTTTTCGATTTGTTTTTTCATGTAGAATCCCCAACTCCTCGGTTGTACTACCGATGCTGGGACACCCAGTATAGACAGATCTCATAGCAATTTCCTCGAAGAAATGTTGCAGTCCTCCATCGTTTATAACTGACACGCGTTTTCTGGTACCTTTCTAAAGTATGCGAGAACTTGTTCCCCGTCGAAGGACTTTCCACTCGAAATGGATAAAACTGGAACGTGAAAAACGTTACGACACGATTCGGATAGCATCCAAGTTGAACGAGCAGTTAAACTTTCCAGCGAAATTAATTAGACGTTTACTCGGCTCGCTGACTGTCCGGGAAAGTTACGAAGTTGTTAATAAAACATGGAAAATCCACTCGTAATAATAACTCGGTGATTTGTAGCGAAATAAACTGCATTTAAATCGTGATTAAATCGTGGATGGAACGAGGTGGAGGGGATAAGAATATTTTGAAATTGAAATTGGAATTGAAATTGTAGCGAAGCGAATTCGATTTTGCTGAATATTTCGTTTCAATATATATGTATTTAATTATATTTATCTTTCGAACGTTTATTTAGCAATTTTATCCGAGTTCCTTCGATTCGAATGGAAAGGATAAATGTTATCTACGAAATAGAAAGGTTTTTCCGAAAGTTTTTAACAAGACAACGACTCGATTCGTCGTTGTCGGTGATAAAAGAGGAAAACCGGTGTCGGGATGAAAGGAAAAAAGAACGCTTTTCAAGTATTCTTGCAGTACGAACGTCGATGTATGTAATTGATGCGATGGGATTTTATTTGTCACAGTTAGGAAACTTCTTTTTTAATTTCATTTCTTCTTTCGGTGCAGTACACGGGCTCTCATTCGTCACTGCCTTAAATCTCTTTTAAAACAGAAATTGCAATTGAACTGATCAATTTTATTTGTGTCGTTCAAGGATAGCTTGAAACTTTTTTAAATACAATATGTATATCGCAAGGATGAAAAGCTGTCTCTATTAAACGTGTATCATCCAGTCGATAAGTTTGAATTGTTTTAATTGAGTCGCCAACTGTAGCAAGAAGGTGCCATCCTCTTCTTCTTCCATCGTTTCAGTTTCCATCCGGTGCGGTGTTCGGAAAAGTTCGATAGCTATATCGTTCGAACTTGGTTCGATCGTTTAGGGCTGTTTCTGGCAACTTTGATATAGAGTGTTCCATCTCCCTTCTTCTCTCGGAACGGATTAAACGGTGAGATACGAACAGGCTTAGGATTCCTGGATATCGTACCGATCGAAGGAGTCGCTGTATTATTGTAAAAGCTTCGAGACGGAATTCGCCGTGTTATCTGCTTCACTTTAGCCGTTTTACTCGGATCTAGGATCACAGATTAAGAGAAAATTGGAACAAGACTGAAGGACGTTGAGAATCGGGATACGCTACCGGGTAGGTTTACTTTTATGGAAACGGGACGTTGGATTGAATTTCAATGTTATTACGAAACGGTACGAAGGGTGAACGTCGATACGAGAGACGGGCAGAGAGAATCTCTGGAAAACTTTTACGGATTTCTTTTGAATTTAGAAATATACACGTGACGGGACTAGCGAGATCTTATTATTATTTCATGGTGTCACTGGCCAGGTAGGATGGAATAGAATATTCGACGATTTGGTTGCAGACGTCGGATAAATCGTCGACTTTCTTCACTTGTTACATTATATACCTATAGAGTAAGCAAGCCAGTAGATGGGCGATTGTAGATTAATTGATAATTATAAGAAAGCTAGATTTTTAATCTATGTAATTTTTTTTATTTTATAGAAAACACATTTATTGTTTCAGAAAAGTAACACTTTTTATGAAAATTTATTTTGTACGTGAAAAATATTTTTTAAACTTGTGTTTAAACGTGAAAAAACAGCGTGTTTAGGTGTACTGCAAAAAGATATATACTGTACGATTGTATTATTAATATTAGAAAGATTCTAACCGTATAAGCATAGTGAATCGGCCCCAGGAACAATTTCGGTTCATATTTATATTACATAATGCTTTTTGCCTAAAGAACAACTGTGAGCAATTTTAATCCCCTATCCCCTGCTAAGGGAGATGTAAGGGTAACAATCCTGAGCTTCACTATTTTGTTTTCTCGGAAACCGTTTAAGATATTTGAATACACTGAAATGCAAATAGTAGGTACTCATTAGCTGTACTCCACATACGTTTTTCAAAATTTTGATTTGATAACTCATACAGTTTTGAGGGTGATTTTTATAAACAACCTCTTGAGTAACACCCACAAAAAAATTAGTAATAATCCTTTACTACTTAACTGTTATCTATGTCAGATTGGTGCAACATGATTAAAAAAAAAAATAAAAGCAATATAACGCCTCTTCAAAAGGTAAAGGCAGGCCGAACCCTGCACCGTCTCACCACGATTTTCATACCAGAAACAACTCACAGAAAAATATGAACTTTGCTTTCTTTCAACTGTGTTCAGATATCGTAAACAGTTTCCGAGAAAAAAAGTAGTAAAGTTTAGGGTTGTTACCCTCATATCTTCCTTACCAGGGGGTAGGGGGTTAAAATT